TGACATCCCAAAGGTTAGGAATTTTGAATTGTTTTAATACTCTTCTCTTTCTTTAGCTCCTGTCTCCTTGCCCTTTTTCTAAAGGTTATGTCTCATGTCTTTTAATGTAAACCACATCAAATCCTTTTGGACAGACACTGTATGAATAATAAATGCAAATGTATGAGCAGCCTTTAAAATATCTATTTTGTACTCTGTAGTCTTTATTTTAACCTCTATTTAAGCTTTGATCATTGTACAGAAATATTTGTCAATGATTCCAAAATTTAAAAACAAGTTTATTATTCTAAAGCCTTATCTAATGGGGAATAAGCATGTAGAATTTCTTCTCCAGTCAAATAAAACCACAACCATGGCTATCTACATGGCAAGCTGTTTTCATCTGACTCGAGTTAATAATTTTGATTTTTTAAAATGTGTTACCTTTTCTATTAACTGTTACAGAAGCTTGGGACAGAAAGTCATTTAGGCAAGAGATTTTAAATTCTAGAAAGACTTTGCCCTCCAACAAAGGACCAAAATCTGCTGAGGAATAGAGTTATATAATGACAAATTGGCTTTTATCTGGGAGTTCATATTTCAAAGGGAAAAATCATTCCAAAGATGTAGAACAAAAAAGAAGGTATATACCAAAGCTTCAAGATTGCATACAGAAAAGGACTTGTTTAGAAATAGCAACAATATTTGATGGAATAGTTTATGTATAGATGATAAGTAGATCAAAGTAGATTAAGATTTTCAACAAATATATGCTCCAAATCTTCAAAATACTGTGAACAGATGAAAAAAAAAAAGAAACTTTTCACACAAGTTGAAAATGCCTTTCTTTGGCTACTGAGGATTAATTTACTTTGTTAAGTAAATTACAATATAATACACTGCAAAGTGAACTCAAAGCATAGAATAAAAGCAAGCAACACACACACACAAATACTAATATGACTTTGTGACCTAGATTTCAAGAGGGGAAAAATGAAAATTCATTAAAATATTGCTATCATCTAAAAATAGCAGAGAAGTCTCTGATTTATCCATGTTTTAGCAATTGGCACATCTGAGGGAGAGCTCCCATACTGATGCATTATTCTTATCGTGTAATTGATGCCTAACACTTCTCAACCTATTAAATGCAGTCTTGAGTGTAAGGGACATTAATCTCCATGTAAGATGAACATCACTCTGAAACCTTAAGTGATCTTGAATTTCCTAACAGCTTAAATGATAATACTCAGGGAAAAATAATACATAGTGCTACTGATTCATTTCCTGACTGACGAAAGAAGATATAATCTCACATACCTGAGATACACTGGTGAGTTCCTGCTTAGTGAGTTCGATATTACTTCCAAGTACTAAAGGGAAGAGAAGAAAGATCAATGCTCAGATTTTACCAGATGACTAGTTCTCCTTTTTCCTGGAGTGGGTAGGAGGCTTTACACTACCCAGAGATCCTGAGGAGTCTGCACAGGAATAGATATTTTTATTTCTCCTAAAATAATGTTCTAAAATTTTAGTGTGATGTCATTGCCTTCACAGGCAATTTTATAATGAAAAGTATTACATGAGGCATTTTCATTTCTTACATTAACATAATTTTTTTCACAATGAGTACTTTAAAGTATGAAAGAATATTTCAAGATAACTATGTCATGGCAGAATCCTTATCTGTAGGAAGTCTGGACAGGCTTTCAAATTTCTGATCACCTGAAAACCATCAGGAGATATTGTAAAAACAGGTCCCAGAGGCTCCAGATTTATTTAAAGGGAAAATAACACCAGATAAAATACATACTAAAATAATAATAAAATAATATGAATAATTATAGGGTAATAAAGTCAACAAAAGAGGTAATATACATTCTTACAAAAACATAAAATTCCAAAATTGGCACAATAATAAAGAGAACATTTAAATAGACCAAAAGCTGCTACAAAAATAGAAAGTAAAATAAAGAATTCTCCACTAAAATGTTCTTATGCTGAGTAATTACATACTAGTTTCTCTCTATATATGTACTGACATTTAAAAATGTCTACTCTATAAAGTGTCAAAAGCGAGTTTCAGAAACATATTTATACCATACTATTTTTTTAAATGTGTATACACACACAGACACATACACACACACAGATTTACATGTATGTATTAACAGTCTGGAAAATTACACACCAAACTTTTAAAAGTGGGTACTAGTTAGAACAGGAATTAATTCAACTTTACATACTTGATGTTATTTCAAACACTTATAAATACATGTTACTTAAAAAATATTCTGGACAAAAACAAAACTTGATGAAATGCATGGTCAAATTCAAAACACTGAAATAATCAGAAGAATCTAGATTTTTGCCAGATACCACTGAAAATTTCCAGAACGTGTAGAAGAGAACTGGCTGGATTGAGAGTCATAGAATAGTGACAATCTTGTGCTTTGACTCTGGAAACAAAATAGCACAGTCGGCTGGGAAGTGAGCAGGAAAAAGATTTTGGCCCATTCCTGTGACCTGCAAGTAGTTCTAGCACAGGTCTACACTGATTAGTAAACTAGGTGGCTGGTGCCACACTATGTGGAGACCGTTATCTCAGGTAGACAGAGATGGATTCAGCTTCTTCAAGTCCATCAACAACAGTCTTTCTATATTCATTTAGAAACAACCCTCAATGTACAACATGACTGGAGGGAAAAAATAAAAAGTAAAAAAAAAAAAGAGAATGATGCATTGCAGATTGGCATGTATAGTTCCCTCAAATAAAGCATTATAATGAGGGTGGCCGCAGAAAGAGCCTGCACGCAGCGCATTTTTCATGATCACATCTAGATAGAGAACAATCTACTGCCTCAGATTTTCTAAGACATGCATTCTTTTCCTCATATGAAGCAGTGCAGGGGCCATGAGAACAATGCAGTACTGTCTAAAACAATGGAAGCTGCAGAGATTGGAAATTGAGGAAGAGGCTATACACAAGCTTTCTTAAATTTATGTAATTTTAAATCTGACAAGAAGACTCAGTATTCGCATGGACAATAAAGGAGAGAGGGCTCAAATCTGGACACCATAAACTACCATCTAGTTGTTGTTCCAGAAACAAAATTCTCCTAATAATCCAGATTCCTAATTAGTGTGAGGCCTATACATCACCAGTGGATAAACATACTAGGTGCTGATGGAACTCTTTTTGCTCAAAATTGAAAAGTTAAAAAACAACAAATAAGGACAATGTGGGGATTTATAGAAAAAATAAAAATAAAAAGAGAACTAGCCTATCATCATGAATATAGGACAGACTGATACTGTGAGCCTGAGGCAACATTTTGGCCCCTAATCTTCTAGACTGAGTGCTTCTGGAAGGAAGAGAAAATGTCTCTCTCTCCTTTGTATCCCAACCATACTATTGTTACTCAAACATATCTGTTCGATTTTAGGGTTCTTAAACTTTTTCCTTGAATATCTTTTGAACCAAGAGTTTAAGCCCTCCCAAACAGCGGCATTGGTCTTTTACATTGTCTCAAACAAACTGAGAATTCGGTGATAAGGGAGATGGGTAGAGTTAGGTTTGGAGATGTGCTAACATACTCACTCAGGAACTAGAATTTAGAGTTACTATGAGCAGATATTCAATCCTTTTTGCCACTAAGGTATTAATAGCCTTTTTAGTGTAAGAAAACACATCATGATTCCTCTTACTTCCAATGTTACTTCAGATATTTAGGGCAGGACTCATTTACAGAAAATCCCATGCTAGCTCTAGATCCAGAATCTGGAGTGGTTAACAATGCAGCTTCTGAACACAAATTACCTAAATTCAAGCACTAACTAGCATTTAGTAAATGTGAGAACTGAGTTAAGTCAGCTCATTAATCAAGCCTCAGTTTTCTTAGCAGGAAAATGGGTATTGAAACTCGAATACATGTTAAGCGCTTAGCGCAGTACCTGGTATGTAGACAGTCCTATATATCTGCTATATATTGACATATATGCTTTGACTCTTTGCTTCAAGTCATGCCTCAGCTCAAAGAGGGCAAACAAATGAAACAGTTGAACTGTGCGCATTCTCTATTGAACTAAGCCGATTTGTATTCCTCAGTCTTTAGCAAATAACATACATAAATCTACATATATATACAGATATATAGAATTATTTGTATAAAACTGAATATTCATCATTTTAAATTTAACATATTGTCAGGTAAAAAGTGAACCATATACTGAGTTAACATCTCATTCACTATTCAGCCTGAAATATATTTTACAAATGACTACTATTTTAAAAAGGGTAATATAAGTTAAGTTACTAACTCTGTAAATCTGATCACTTAATTAAGTTGAGGTGAAATGGAATAACTTCTAATATCATTTAGAGAAATAAGCAATCAAAGCATATGATTCTGGTCTGAAAAAAATGTATTTATCTTAAATTGGTCAATATCGGCACCCAAATAAAGCAATTCTGCCACTTCCACCTAAAGTAAACCATGCTTTTAAGTACACTATAGCTCACTTGAAAAAGCTTTTCTCTGAGGAGTACTTGTTTAAGTAGATTCCTTTGTACAAAAATAATACAAAACCACCAGCTGCTACCTACCTTGTATTCAGTCAAAGCTGAGAGATTTAAGGTAAGGACATCTTCTAATCCCATACTCATGCTAAATGCATCAACAATGCGGATATAAAAATCTGGGCAGGTAAAGAAGCTCAACCAGGGATGGTAGACAGCAGAGAAATCGGTGCTGATACATGGGAAAACCAATAGGGAAAG